TCCGTGCCTGCTCTTCTGCCTCCGGAACCCACCACCACACATGGTCCACCATCTCCACCCGCAGAACGTGACAGGACTTTGAATTTCACCACACAAAAGAATTACAGTAAATGCTACCATAAAAATTCTCAATAAACTGTAAATATTGTTTATCATAACATCAAATATCACGATATTTCAGTGTATCAATATTTGCTTCGTTTTTGAGGTTGTGTGTGTGTGTGTGTGTGTGTGTGTGTGTAAAGAGGCAGCACTGTGAAACACCCCTGCAGCTCAATGGTCTCACCACTGATTCCACAACCTTTGATTGATGGTGTTTGAAAGCACACATACTGGGATGCCATTACATCACCTCTGTTTGCTCGGCGCAATCTAGTAAAGGTGAGCCACAGTGCCATGACATGGTTGTCTTATTTGTGCTCGTGTTGCTCACTTTAACAGCTAATAAAACTGGCTGTGTAACAATCCTCCTGACTACTATAGGACGTGTAATGGAAATCTGTGAGCTCGTGGTTTCCTGACTCAAGCTGAACCGACGTTTGATGGCAAATGCAGAAAATCATGTCACAACTTGTTTTTCACAGCACCACATTTGAACGTTTGTTTGCATGGAGGAGATATGAACTTGTCCCGGACCCAAGCACAAAGCGTTTTTATTTTTACTTCAACCAGGTGTTTTCCACGAGTTTCCAAAAGAAAGTTTTGAACCAAAGCCAGTCCATTTTTGAAGGATTGCATATTTTCTGTCCTTTTTCATGCCAGAGTTTTAAACTAAGGTCAGGATTGAGTTATAGCTGTTTTGGGAAAATCTTAAAAAATCTCATGCATTAGTGCAGGATTGTGCACAATCAGTTGGAACGTGTATTGTGAAAGACACTCGGCTACACCTGCATCAAATCTGGGTAGCTGTGTTTGCTGAGCTGAGGCATCCATCTTGAATTAGATTTACCTCAAAGGTTAACCTTGTTACTACCATCCTGTTGGCACCAACTTCACCACCCTCCACAGAAAGTAGACAGATGTGTGATAAACAGGATGTAGAAAAAAGGAAAAATAACTAACTGCTCATCATCGTGAATAAATAGGGTAGAAGACTGGTGATTAGAACAGGTGGTGAGGAGCTCAACAGCAGCACATGAGTTGAGCTGGAGGAGTGGATCTAAAGGAGATCCATGCCTCTCCCAAATCTTTGAGTCACGCTGTGAAAATTTGTGCTTTCACAAAAGACGTGACACATGTTTGACTCTCTGTGTGTATGCGGAACATGGTTTTGAGCATGCGAGTGTTTTTGTCTTCTCTCGTCCTCGGCCAGTTTTCCCCCTTGTTCTCTCTGCAGGCGTCATCTGGGGTACAAAGAGGAGAGGAGCCTGAGTCACTTCCAAAGTGATTTCCATTGCCGCATAAGAGCCTTTTGGAAGAATGCAACGTGGCTCATGCCAGGAAAGGAAAGAAGTAAATGACCCTAGAGAGAGAGAGAGAGCTTGAAGGGGGCCAATCGAAGTTTAGTCAGAGGAAATTTTCTGGCTGCCTCTAGCCGAGGCCCAGCAGAGCGAAGACAAGAATTTGAAACGGTGGAAACGAGAATAAAATGGATTAAACGAGACTGATAGCTGGAGTTTGGAAGAGGGTTCTCCTCTCCAACGGTAGAGCTCGGGATAAACTCAAGCTCTGAATAGAGACGGAAAAGAGAGACAAACAAGTAGAAATGCACGAAAAGTTGAACAAAATTAGAATCTTCTGCTGAAAAAGAAACGAGTGTGAAGGATGGAGGAAAAGAGCAAAAGGAAAAGTAATGTTCCTCCTGTAATTGTTTCAGCGTGTGCACGTTCAGTCTTCCCTGTTTCTTTTGCAATTATCATCTTAGGTCCAGAGGCTGTCTGCCTGAAGTCAGAGAGACACTTGGGTGGCTTGATGGAGTTTGGCACCGATCTGTGCACAAACATGGCCTAGAGACATCACTTAGTTAATTAACCAGAAAGACTAAAAGTGATTCTCCGGGCTGATAAACAGAAACCAGGAGAGCACCTTCCTCCCTCGTCACAGAAGAGTAGAAAACAAAGTCTTGCAGGTAGTTTCAGGCTGTTTGCTGTTTTCTCAGCAACAATGGCTGAGAATCTCATCAGCTCAAACGGGAATGATGGAAAGCGTCATTTTCAGTACAAGATGTAGAATTTAAAACAAACGAATCTGGATAAACGCTATTTATGAGTTTTCTGTTACTGATGTGTGTTTTTAGCTACTTGTGCCCTTCCCCGTGACCTTGTTCTCACACCTACAGAATTCACTTCCAGAGAAAAACCCACTTGTGCACGCGTGTGGGAAAATAAATGGAACACGAGCGTTCATAGACACAACATGCTGCGTTCTTGTAAACCAGAGGTGGAAGTGATTAACATTTACACCATCCCCTAAACCAGCCCTGGCTGTTTTCCCACCTCCTCATTTGTGCTCACTGTCAGTGTTCTGGTCTCATTTTCACCTCAGAAACAAGGATGTGTTGAAGAAAACACTTAGTTTCAGCCGTAGCATGTTCCTGTTGTGATTATTATCATCTTTTAGTCAATTTCTCCATCTCCTGTCCGGAATTGTTACATGCTTAGAGATGTCCACTTGATATTTGTTTCATCCTCCTTTTCCCCAGCAGATGTTTGTTAAGTGTTACTTAAACTGACTCCCGTGGCTTTAGGAGACAGCTAATGGCCTGTCTGCTGCGATTCTCTGTCTCTGCTGACTCCAGCACACAACATGCAGACTGTGCAGACATGACCCTTTCTTCCTTCACTGCTGTGTGCTGTGAGCCTCGAGTTTGGCCCTGCATCTCGCCTGCTCTGTGCTCTGACGTTTTAGCTTTACTCTCCTATTTGAACTGTCTTTCCAGATTACCAAAGCACATCCATTGCTGTCGGGCAGCTCCTTCAGATGGTTTAGCCCTTGCTCTGCTGCTGGACTGTAGTTGAGGCTCACATGCTCACGCCTTTTTCTATAAACTGATGTTCAGGTGCTTTATGCTCCTCACCAATCAGTGTTTCTCTGCTGCAGGTTCATGATAGTTAAACGATGCAATTACTAATGGATTTATGTAAAAACAGATCATTGAATTCATCCATCCATCCATCCATTTTCTGAACCCGCTTGTCCACTTGGGGTCACGGGGGTGGGGGGGCTGGGGCCTATCTCCAGCAGTCAATGGGCAATCAGGCGGAGTGCACCCTGGACAGAGAGCCATTCCATCGCAGGGCAACACAGAGACACACAGGGCAAACAATCACACTCACACACTCACACCTAAGGACAATTTGGACAGACCAATTAACCTAACACTCATGTTTTTGGACTGTGGGAGGAAGCCGGAGTACCCGGAGAGAACCCACGCATGCACAGGGAGAACATGCAAACTCCATGCAGAAAGATCCCAGGCCGGGAAGCGAACCCAGGACCTTCCTGCTGCTGCTCCTCCATCAGCAGCTCTATAGATGGTTTTACTTCCTCCTTTGTGAAATCTCAAATGGGAACTTTTTGAAGCAGCTTGTTTTAGGCCCATAATTCCTAAAATCAAACGCTGACAGAAAATGGATGGACGTTATCATTCTCCCACATTTGGAGTGGCAGTAGACCCAAGTAGCAGCACAAGATGACACAAAAGATGAGTTTTGAATATGTCCCCTTTAAGTTATAACTTATTCCATTAAGTTATCCCTTAAAGTGCATGTCAAGTGTGCCTCAGAGTCTTACCCCCACCCACGTATCAATTTTAAAAAATGCAACATTAGTAGGCGTTGCCTGGAGGACCGAGAGGGCGGAGCCGCGGCAGTGACGAAGACGATGGCTAACTAGACGAAGCTAGCTCCCTTCACTCTGAGCAGTTATTAGAAGTGGAGGATGTTTCTCCCCCTCCTTACACAGACACTCGAGAAGAAAGGGACCAAGTCTATTTGGAGGAGACAAGCGGACCTGAGTCTTATTGTTTTGAGCTTGTGAGTTGCCTGAAACTCCCAGAACCGACCCAACAGAATCACCTCTGAACGGTAAGTAGCCGTTAGCCATAGCATTGGATTAGCTGCAGGGTTTGTCTCCACGGCCCTAAAAAGCTAGTATTCAGCATGTTTTAGAGGTTTATCTGCTTCAGCACACCTGGTTTTAATCAGCAACAAATAGCTGAGCTGCTTAACAGCTAATCTAACCTGTTAAAGCAGGAAAATCCCCTGAAACATGCTGGATAGCAGCTCTCCGGTAGCTCTGGGCTCAAGTTACAGTCTACTGCATATAAAGTTATGAAAATACCCCATGAGAAAATTATTCTGTAATGTGTTCAGCCCACTAAAACTGCCCTGATTTCTTTATTTATTTACTAATAACAGCTGCTCTCTTGGTTCTAGGTCCTCTGGTGTCTGCAGCTGGTCTCTGCTGGTGTCCTCAGGATCAGGAACTTCCAGAAGAATGTGCCTTTCTCTTTCCCCCTTATTTGTTATATTAATTAAATAAATCTCAATTTATATATTTCCTGTTTTTGTTCATGTCCATAAATACTTAAACATGCTTGAAATTAAAACGAGCTTTTAACAGTGAGGTGCTAGTTTAATTAATCACAATAGCTAGTTAAACATGCAACAAAAATGTGATATTCAATGTTATTTATAAATATCCATTAAAATATCAAAACTGGAATCTAAATGAGATATTTGGCAGCACAAAAAACTTGTCAAACACAATATTTATTATAATAATTGTAGGCAGACAGGAGACAGAGCTGATGGAGGTTCTCAGTCATCAAAGGATGGCTGAAGGCTTTCCAGGAGCAGGAGATGTGGTGTTGTCTCTTCTCTCTATTCTGCCAGATGAGCAGATAGGTTACAGGTGTGTGAGGACATCCTCATGCTGTCATAACCAGATGACAGGAGTTATCAGGTGATCAGCCAGGCTAATGAGATGCAGAAAGAAAACAAATTCAGGACAGTGTACAGTAATAACAATAATAATCTGTGGTGTTGCTCACCTTATGTGCTGTTATAGAGTTATTAACATGTGCATGCCTCATGGTGTAGAGTCCATATTTTGCTGAGTGTCCTGCAATAATGCAGGTTATTAGTTAATTTACTTTTGATAGCAAAAACAAAATATTTAATGTAAAAGTTATTTTCCAGGTGAATCAGCTCACACGTCACCACCAAGTGTCACAGGGCCAGAATCAGTAGCCTCCTTCATGATGTAATCACATACTTATTTAATTGTTAATATCTTAAAAATTCTGAAATGTTTTAATTTTTTTTTTACCTTGAACAGTTCACTGAGCTTGCACTGTCACTGAGGTGGAAGCTGGAATCAACAGCAGACACCTTACATCTTGGTCTTTTCAGGGGGTCTGGACGCTCTGGGACTTTCTGGAAGATGAATTTTCATCATGGTCCCTGTGGGTCACCAGACACACTGCGGCTGTGAACTCCATTCTGGCTGGCTTTGTTAAAACAAAGAAGCAGCACATTTATAAATGTTTAAAAGAGCATAAAATCACGTGTAAAAATAATCTGTAAAACAAATTAAAACTAGAAGGTGATAATAAAATGTTTACATAGAAGATTATTAAAAATAATTCACCTTTGCTACGCAGGTAAAGCTTCACGTCAGCCTGGACAAGTGCATTCTTGCAGCTAAATCAGTCTGACAGCCAGTGTCTTGGGTAGATTTAGCCTGAAAAAAAAAAATAGAAGCACATTGTTGTTGGGAGTTTATAAAGTCAGATAATATACAAAAGAATCTCCTATATAGGCGCTTTATAACATTCCTAGTGTGTGATCGTTGTTATAACGTAAAAGTCAGTCACATATGATGTGGAGAGCCTGAAATGCGACCTCCTGAACAGAATTCCTCACAGAACCGGGTCACAAGCTGGATTTCACGCTGTAATGCTGTCTGTCAAGTGCTGCGTCAGTTAGAGCCACTGTTGCAGAATTGCCGACTGACTAGCTAAAGGAAGTGAACCACGTCTCTCAGACTTTGCATTTAGGTAGGGAATTGTCTTTAGAAGATGTTAAAACGTTTATTTAGCTTACTCACCTCAGACTGGAGCCCGCCGTGGTGGGGGAGCAGAGTCGGTGGGCTGCATCTAAATCGCGGAAGAGCCACGGTGGGCAGCCTCCCTCTTCAAACGGAGACGTGCAGAATCGCGGGTAAAATGCCCACAGAGTCACCGCAAGCATACTACATTACACCATCTCACCAATACTAAGACGATATGGAACACTAAACCCGAAATACTTTCCCAATTACACTAACAGCCAAACACTAACTAAACTACAATATCCAACAGCCAAGCTAACACTAAATAAGTATTTATAACACTAAAAGATATGCTAAGACTAGGATATGCTAATGCTATATGCTAATGCTGAACTACCACTAACCTCCTACACTCGCTTGCAAATCCAACTCCCACTCGCCACAGGGCGTGGCCGAGACTCTCGTTGCTTTTATAACTTTGGCACGGAGCTGCTACTGTAGTACTCTACTGGTTTACGTAGTACTTTACTCTTTAGCCATTGGCTAAAATTTATTCAAAATGACTCAAATTCTATGTTTTCAGCTGAAGGTGGCGCATTACTGTGGTTTTTAGACAGAATTTTTAATTTTTAAAGAAAATGCACCAAAATGCTAAAATAAAGAATGCACACATTTAAAACACTATTAGACACTCATTTATACAGTTCATCAGCAAAAAAAAGTTAATTTAGACGTTACTTGCTCTTTAAATAACCAGCCATATAAACAGTTTATAGTGAATTTAAATGTGCATTCAAATGAGTACTTAGCATCAAAATATCTGAAAGTATAAATTTATCACCAATTGATTAGAAAACTGAAAAAAAAAACCTATTAAAAATAATTAGTATTTTTGTTACATTTTCGCTTAAGTTTTAAAAAGCAACCAGAAGGAAACATTTAATAAATTAACATGAAAAATAAGAGAATAAATTACAAAACAAATAAATAAGAACTATCATCAGAAAATTCTTACATAGAGTTTTTTATTTAAGTGGCTTAAATGAACTGAAAACATCTCTGGCTCATAATCTTTAAACAACATTACTTGTATTGTAGAAAAAGGTCACAATTTAAGTCTGGCAGCGTGTGAAAAAAATCAACTAACAGAATTTTTAGTTTTCTGTCATTTTCTAATAACTCAAATAGAAAAATCTGATAACCAACACACAGAGTCACAATGCTCCTCTGTGTCATTATTCCACCTCTCTTTTTGTTCTCCTTTCATGGTGAGATGCTCAGCTCCTGTTGGTCTGACTGTGTCTGTCGATGTAAAATTTCCCTTCATTAGACCAGGCTTTGTTGCAGTTTCTCAGCAAATTGGCCCTATAGAAGAAATATGTGTTGTTCATTGAGCTGCCATGCCAGTAATAAATGCCTGGCAGCCACTTTTGTTCCCCTCAGAGATAATTACCACCATGGGGAGGGGTTTAAGTGATGATGTGACCAGGGTGAGGGTATAGGCATGCCACCTGTCATCCATGTCTGACTTTATCTGCAAAGTTAAAGGATCACTTGTGAGGTGCAAAGTTAAAGGATCACTTGTGAGGTGCAAAGTGGCATTACTTGAGTTACATTGTAGAGGATTAAGTGCTGTTCACCATCAAAGAACGACTACTAACAGGAAACCCATTTGGATCATGTGTTACTGCGACAGTCGGGACTTCTGTTACCTCACCTTCTACTTATTTTCAGTGTCAGCCAGTTGGGGTGGGGAAATTGTTTATTGAAGACATCAACAGTCAGCAAAAAATAAACTCTGCAGCATTTTTCTCACCTTTATGATGAGGTCAGCCTTGACAGATAGAAAATATATACAACCTTTCAAATATAACATGCAGGAAAATCATATCCATCATCCAACAGCAGTTAAAAGTTTTAAAATCATTTTTCTCAAAAACAAAGCTAACTTTTTCCATTGTTTTTTTCTCTCCGTCTGCTTAAACTGGCATAAAACGGAGGACAAATGCAGGTTCTCAGTGTTTCTGAACTTCATCCGTTTGATTTTGGTTGTGATAAAGAAGCAGTGTGTCGGCTCGACAAGTGGTGTAAAGCTGGATCATGGCCCGGCCCCACCTCTTCAAAGACTCCCACTGTATGCGGTTTCCACTGATAATGAGATCCACTAGACATCCAACAGGTCCGACTCCTTTCACATCTCCCCCGTCACTGTGGACTGACTCACTTTAGTCACCAGTTTAAAAGGTGCCATGTTGCTCCCTCTCTCATTCTCTTAACACACACACACACACACACACACACACACACACACACACACACACACACACACACACACACACACACACACACACACACACACACACACACACACACACACACACACACACACACTTTGTCTCTGAGGTCCCAGTGCAATTTACAGTGGAAATGAAAACACTCCGATGGCAGAGAGTTTGACAGGGTGTGAGGGCTTTTAAATATGGCCCCTCAGGTGAGACGAAGACATAAACACACCGCGTTTATGTGTGAGGACTTCAAAGTGTTTACCCAAATTTTCTCTGAAAATTTTCAGCTCACACTTTCAGCCACCCGTTTAGCCACAAAAATGGAGGATTGATTTGCTGCAGTGTTTACAGTCGGGCTTTTTATGTTGACTCTTTCTGATTGTTTGATAGCAATTAAACCGCCATGAAATCGGTCGTTTTACAGCACAATTAATTTACTGAGAACCAGAAGGTTGCCAGGCAGACAACAGATGGACTGAATACTGTTAGCCTCAGAATCAGAAGTAACCACCCCTTTTAAATTCATGCTAGATAATGACTTTTTATACATTATAAATTAGCTCAATAAGCAGCATAAATACTCAGTAGCCTTTGTGCTCTGATTTCTTCCTGTTAACCCTGAAAAAAGAAAGACTAGTCACACCAAAGCAAATCAGTTTTGGCGTGTTGGGTAGATACAAATAGAGGTGGGTAAAATTGTCGGCACTTTCCTGTTAAAGAGAGAAAAATCCTCAACGGTCACTGAAATAACTCAGAACTCATCAGTTAAACTAAGATGTGTTCTTTAATTGGCATCACATGAGTCTTCTGTTTTGTAATCAGTCAGCCTGTCTATTGAAACGTAGTCACAATGCTGTTTGCTATCAGGGTGTGTACCACTCTGAACATGGACCACGAGCTGAGGCTAAAGCTCAGGAGAGAGTGTTCCCATGTGAGAAGAAAGACAATTATTGACCTACGTGCCAATGATGCAGGCTAGAAATGTCTCCAGGCAGCTTGATGTTCTTCTGGCGAACAAATGTTTCAGAAGTTTAGCGTCCACAGGACTCCCAGTCTCCCTGAACGTGGACTCAAAAGCAAGACTGACAATAAATTGAAGACAGTAGCCAAAGAGTACAGAACAACTTCAGAAAACATTAGAAGTAAACTCAATGGTCCAGGTTCATTAGGGTCAGATTCCACCACCCCTTGCTGTTTGAGCCAAAGTGGACTTGAAGCTGCTTTCCGGAGTTTTCCTCTTTCAGAAATCATGTATGATTTGTCAGAAATCCGTAAAAGTCATTATCTTATCTTGTACAGTGATATAAGCACACCCCCTGCCCGGCAGAGCTCCGTGCAATAGGAAACTGAGCGTCGACCAGAACTAACCAGTAGCTTTAGATTGCCGCTTAGATGCTTCAAATTTAAGGAATACCTCGGCTGATGCAGAGTTGATGAACTTTTCACGGACAAGAAAGTCTCTAAAATATAAATATATGAAAACACAACATGACATGAGAATAATACTGGTAAAACAACGTGTTTTAGCTCTGTTTGTCGGCTACAGAAGCATTTATAAAACAGCAACGTGAAGTCGCCATCTTAAAAAAACAGACGAACAGCGTTTTTGTGTGATACGCTTGTCAGCCACTAGATGGTGCCATCGGATAAGAGGAATACTCCGAAGGAAGCTTTAATGGAAGACGACCGAGCAGACACCACTGTTGGAAGTAAGTCTGTGTTGACATTTTGAAACAACACTTCTAGGTGGATGTCTTTTGGACAAATAAGACAAGTCAAAGCTCAATGCACAGATGCAGAAATGAAGCAGCCAAAGAAAAGACAAATGTTCTCAGTGGGAAACATGGAGGTGTGGTTCTGTTCTGTGGCTACTTGCTGCATTTGGTACAGGGTGTCTGGAATCTGGGTCCAATGAAATCTCAAGATGTCTAAAAATTCTGGAAAGAATTGTGCTTTCACGTGTTTGAAAGCTTGGTTTCAGTATCAGGTCCTCTAAAAGGACAAGGACTTGAAACACAGTTCAACACACAAGTGGTCTTTTCTGATGTGGTCTTTTAGGAGCCCTGAAGTTTACTAACGAGGCTTGGGTCAAAATACCTGATGAAAGGTGCTGACGCCTCATAGAGAGTAACATAAGTCACGTGGTTGCTTTAAGAGGTCGTGCAACAAAATATTAACAAAGATTTAAGAATTAACCAGATTTTTTAGTTTGTAATGATGCAGTAATGATATCTATACCTACATATGTGTGTATGTCTGAATCGGTTTTATATCAATGATACAGTGATTATTTTTCCTTAGATGAGATGAAATGAACTAACGTTTTAATAAGGCTAACTCTGCACAGTAGGGAGTTTGGTTTGTCGGCTTCCTGCAACAGTAAAAGCCTAACCCTTAAAAGTGAAACTAATACATGAAATAGGCTCATTCCATGAAAAGCCAGGATTTCAAGTCTTTGTTATAATTGTGATAATTATGGCTTACAGCTAATGAAAAACACACATTCAAAATCTCAGACAGTTAGAAGAAAGGTTCAATATTCTAGACTCAACGTGTCCCGCTCTAATCAGCTAATGAATCCAAAACAAAGGGTTCCTGAGCCTTTAGATGGTCTCTCAGACATGGCATAACTGAAATAAATGTACTTTTGCACCATATTCTCATTTTTAAAGTTTAACCCGTATGTTGACTTGAAAGCACAACTTCTCTTGTTAAAAAACAAAAACACTCTTGTTTCTGATGGCACTAAACTTTTGTAGAGTTACAATACGTGAAATAAAGCATGTAAAATGTCTCAGGGGTTGATGCTAGAGCGTGTTTTTGTGAGAAAATCCCACTTTGGTAGAACAATGCAGGAAAGACTCTGCTTGCATGTTTCTTGTTAAGAAATACATTTGAAAACAATCTACCGGTAGTTTTCATCCTGGCATTATTAGAGTAACAGGTTTTATTGTTGTGATGTCATTTCCTGTCACGTTTGTGAATGTTACAGGTTGAAAATAGAACAGTTTAATAAAAGCTACATTAAAAAAAAACCTCCACATGGCATTTAGAGGTGTGCAGAAACAAGGTACAGGATTTCCTTTAAAAGCTACATTTAAAAAAAACATATATTTATGTTAACAGCATGACACTGGGTTTATGTTTAGAGGGCACCATTGCGGATTACCAAAATACGT